GCCGCCGCCGTCGTCACCGCCGTGGTCGACGTCGCCGACGAGGATGCATCCACAGTTGACGTCCGCGGTGCTGGCGGCGGCTCCGCCGCTGCCAGCGCCGCCGGCGGCTCCAGTACGTCCGCCATCATTACAGAGGCTCTCCTCCGACACCGACGACAGGGACGGTTGTCGTGACGGCAACGGCGACGCCGCCGCCGCCGCCGGTGGAGCTGGTCAACGGTCTCCCGGAAAGACGGCGGATACGGTAGCGTCGCCAAGGTGCGTCTCTGGCAGAGCTCACTTGGCCTTTTTCACGTCTTTATGCCGTTATGGATGGCAGTCACTTTGATAGGCAGCCTGCGCCATTCGTTTAATTTTCCGTACGTTTCCGTACAGTTTAGCACTGGAAAAGCTGTGGTTTTTACGCAATCGTCGTGGATTTGCCCTTTTGATGCATTATTCAATATTAGTAAAAAGAACCTGCTGTAGTGGATTGTTCATATCCATGTAGTTTAGGCAGGACACGGGTGTTAGTGGTGACAGTCGCGGTACTGCTGCTGCTGCTACTGCTGCTGCTGCTGCTGCTGCTGCTGCTGCAGCTAAAATGATGTTTCAGTGGGGAATCCGAACAGATCACCGGCTGCGGTGCTGGCCGCCGCTGGCCGGTACTTACTGTTTATCGCTTTTACATCTGCTAATTTTCCTGCTGCTGCCTCCGCCACCCCCGATACGTTTGCTGCCGTACTGCGAAGGTCACCAGGCGAGGGGCGAGGGGCATCAGGCGACGTACGGCGGCGGCGCTTTAAGCAGAGTGCCCTTCTGGTCAGTCCGTCAGCCCGCCTGTACGGCTTTATTTGGACGTTAGGTAGCTGGTGTTGGTGTGTGTGTGTGTTTTGCGTTCTGGGCCCACCACGTATACATAATGTATATACGTGTATATAAATATATACATATATCAGTATATGCATACAGATATATGTATATATACGTAGGTACACATGTAGATGCATCTGTATGTGCATGTATAATATCTATGCCACCCTGCCCCTCGCCGGCCCCTCTCCCCCCCGTCCCGCTCCCCCCAACCCCACTCGCCCTTCAGAGCAGCAACGGAGACGTTCAGCCGCTTCAGCGACTATCCCTGGAGGTGACCGTACGGAACCCCATGACAAGTGACGTGGAGCTGGAAGATCTAATCCAGGTATGTACGACATCGTGTCGTACCGTACAGATACACTAAAGTTTTGTTCTATATCGAGATTGTGCCTGTGCTGCTCTAGTTGCTGTTGTTATTGGCACTGCCACTGCCACTGCCACTGCCACTGCCACTGCCACTGCCACTGCCACTGCCACTGCCACTGCCACTGCCACTGCCACTGCCACTGCCACTGCCACTGCCACTGCCACTGCCACTGCCACTGCCACTGCCACTGCTACTGCCACTGCCACTGCCACTGCTACTGCCACTGCCACTGCCACTGCCACTGCCACTGCCACTTCCACTGCCACTGCCACTGCCACTGCCACTGCCACTGCCACTGCCACTGCCACTGCCACTGCCACTGCCACTGCCACTGCCACTGCCACTGCCACTGCCACTGCCACTGCCACTGCCACTGCCACTGCCACTGCCACTGCCACTGCTACTGCCACTGCCACTGCCACTGCCACTGCCATTGCCACTGCCACTGCCACTGCCACTGCCACTGCCACTGCCACTGCCACTGCCACTGCCACTGCCACTGGATCAACCCCGAACAGGAAACTCACAAAAGACTAACAACTCAAACGATGTGTGGCTTGGATGCGTGCATGACTCCCCCGATCCGCATGCAGGCCATAAGAAGCAGTAGCAGCAATCTCCAAAACATCGCGACAGGGGAGGGGGGATCGCGAGGTGGTACGGGCAGCGGCAGCTTGTACCGCATGGCGGCCGTCAACAGCGGCGGCGGCGGCGGCGGCAGTAGCAAACATCTTCGGGGGACGTCCGGCGGCGACAGCAACGGCGAACCCGGCGGTGGCGGCGGCGGCAGCGGGGGAGGAGGAGTAGCTACGGTTCAAGTTCTCGTACGGCGGCGGTGAGTACGGCAATTCTGTCTCTCCACGGCTTTACTTGGGAGGGGGAGGGGTGCTGCTGTGTATGTGTGTACATGCGTGCGTATGCGTTGTGTGTAGGGGGGTGTAATAGTAAGGAGGGAGGGGATGTGTGTGAGAGGTAAAGCGGTAAGAGGGGGTTGAGGGGTAAGGGGGAGAGGGAGGGGGAGGGGGGCCAGCAGGCCCTCTCTATATCTAGTGGGGCAACCTAGGGGATGCGGTCTCCTCGCGCCGTCATGGGTTCTAGTACACCGAATGTTTGATAGAACGGGGTTCACGTGTCGCGCGGGTTTTTTAATATTTTATGAATATTTTTGCCGTGTATTCCTGAATAATACATATGTGACACACCCCTGCTGTCATCTTCCGAGTCCCGGAGTTCCCGGGGTCCCTCGTTCATCTTTTCCTGTACGTTGTGTTCCAATCTGTTTGCCTTCTGCCTTCAAAAGGGGACTACGTGAGGGGGGTAGGGGGGGTAGATACTTGTTTGAATGCGGGGGTACGAGGATGGCTTTGTTGCAACACGCTCTGCCGTACTGCCGTACACCGCGTTTCATCAAGCCCCCTACACCTCCCTTTTGTTCAGGTCGGGAGGCGAGGAGCAGCTCTCCCCCCAGCGGGGCGGGGACGGTTCAACAGCTCGCCCTTCCTGTCTCGTGCAGCAGTTGGCCTTGGAGCTGCCGGTATGTATGTATGTCTGCGTGTCTTTAAGTGTGTTGGGGGGGGAAGGGGAGGGGGATGTATGCCAAGAGAATGTGCGTGTGTGTATGCCTCGGGGGCGTGTGTATATGTGTGAGGGGGGAGGGGGCGGGGGAGGGGGGAATTACATGCGAGAAACCCAGTCTGCCGGTGTTGGAAGGGAGAAAGGTGCTGCAAGAGATCAGAACAATCTGCCCGGGGCGTGGGGGTTCGGGGTTGGGGGTTGGAGCCCTAGGGCTCCTGGGACTAGGGGGGAAGAGAGCGTTCAGGGGCTTGATGCTGGGGGAGGGGGGACGACGGGGGGGGAAGGTGCTTTCAAAAGTCTTTTTATTGAAGATGGAAATGTTGCGTAACTCTCTCCAACGGTGTCATCATATGTGTATATATGTACATATAAGATTATATACATATATATACGTGTGTGTGTTTCCCTCGCCCCCCGGCCACGCCGCCGCCAAGTCTATAGTACCCAAGTCGCATCACGGGTCACTAAATATTCCTGATGCGGTATATTTGTCTTCTCCCGACCCCTATCCGTCTCCTTCTGATATCTGCTTCACTCGCCGGTAGTTCGTCCTATACCCCCTTTCCCCCCATTTCCCCTTTTTCTACCCCTCCAGGACACGAAAGAGGCGTGTCCAATGGAGATCCAAACACACACGTCCTCAGCTTCACTCCCAACCCCAGCCCCACACCCAGATCCAGTTCCAAATCCAGATGCAAGAGCAGGGGCAGCTTCCAGCAGCCGGGGTGGCTTAGCACCAACAGCATCATTCGCCTCCGCCTCCGCTTCCGCCTCCGCCGCGAGTGTGGGTGCGGGTGCGGGTGCGGGTGCGGGTGCGGGTGCGGGTGCGGGTGCGGGTGCGGCCGTCGAGGGGCGACTATTCACCGTCACAGAGCTGCAACCAACCACTGCGGTGAGTTGCGGAAACTTGTGGCACCGCAACCAACATAACCGTCACTTCACAACGCACAACCGCCACCCGGTGGGACACTGGCATACGTCTTTTCATCGTATGGCCCCCCCGCGTGGATGGCTGTGATGTACTAATTGTAATTCGTAACTAGTACCCAATACCCTGGGAGATACCGCCCCGGGGTTACATCGAAGTGCAGCGCTGAAGTAAAAGAAGTACAAAGCAAGTGAAAATGGATAAGATAACAGCAATACAAACGATGTATGTACGGATGTACGGGTGAGCACGTGTGAGACAGCTCAATCCCTAGGGCCTTCCCTCGGTACGGCATCTCGCGGTGCCGCCGGGGGTGGTGGCCGTGAGCAGCTGGTGGTGGTGGTGATGTGGTGATGTGGTGGTGGTGGTTGGCAACCTCCCGTTGCTTTTTTAGGACTCCCTTAGGGCTGCACTCACATCTTGGTGCCATCTAATATCCATTCCGCGACGTCGCCGCCGTACATTTACGACAATATTACCGAACTTAGGAATCCTCTTGGCTCTCTGGCTAACCTCTCTGGGTAACGCAACCGAGGTGTAACGCACACACGTATATACATACAGATATACATACAGACATCATCCAGCGCACATTATCATTATTGCTGTGACAGGAGGATCGGCCCCTAACCATCTCCCCCTCCCCCACGCTGTACAGCTGACTGTCGTCAACGTCGTACCTTCCCGCCGTACCTCCATGCCGTCACCGTTTCAGGAGCATCAAGCCACGGAGTCGCTTCATGCCGCCGCTGCCAGCGAAGGAGTCGGCGGCGGCGGCAGTGGTGCTGCCGGCGTCAGCGGCGGCGGCGGCGGCGTGAAGGCGCATCCCGTCTTCCAGCGGATGCAGACCTCATGGGAGCTGCCCGACGTCACGGCGGCGGATCTTGCCGTACATGGCAAGCAGCACATGTCGCTACCGCCGCCGGCAGCGGCGACGTCGGTGTCGGTGCCGACGCCGCCGGTGGCGGCGCTGTCCGCGACGCGGCTGCTTGGTCCGCAGCAGCGACAGCAGCAACAAAAGTCGGCGAGATCGTCCGGCGGCGGCGTCGGCGGCGGCGTCAGCAAGACGGTGCAATTGTTGTTGCAAAAGCTGAATGCACTGCCACCGAACCTGCGCGCTGAGATTATCACGCAGCTCAGCGGCCCGTCGGAAGTACGGATGCTTTTGTCGCAGTCCACGGCGCCGGCGCCGGCGGCGGCGGCTGAGACGGCGATGGCGGCGGCGATGATCGCGGGGGGCAGCAGTTTTGGGCCCCACCGTTCTGCTACCTCACCGTTCGCGGGCGCAACGGGGGCGGCGGCGGCGGCGGCGGCGGGGGGGCCGGCGGGAGGCCCGGAGTTCCAGGCCGCGGTGACACATTTCGCCGACAGCGCAGGCATCGCCGCCTCCGCTGCCTCCGTCAGAGGCGTCGCCGTCACTGGCGCTGAAGCGGCGGCTTACAGAACACAGCAGCCGAAGCAGGTCAGTAGCACTGGCGGCGGCGAATCCATGGAGACGGCGGCCAGAGGCTCCGCTGCCGCCGCTGCCGTCGCCGCCGCCGCTGCCGCCAGAGATGGGATGTCAGCGACCGGAAGACCGGGCACCATGCCCTCCTTGCTTTCCATCAACAGCCGCCACAGAAATCCCGTTTCACAGGAGCTCCTGACGGAGATCTCCGCTGCAGCGGCGGCGCAGTACGGCACCTCGCTGCCGTACATACCCCTTGCCGCTTCTTCCAATGCCGCCGCCCCCACTGCGGCGGATACTCGCCCAACTCCTTCGCCGGCCGCTGCCGCCGCCGCCGGTACGGCAGAATTATCTTCTGTCGTGCTATCTGCAGCCGACGCCACCGATAATCGCAGCAGCAGCTGCAGCTCTTTGGATCTTGATGCCGTACATCGGATGACGACAAGCAGGAGATCGCTAAAGCCCTCAGAAGCATTTCTGTACGGCAAGGTGGACAGCGCCGCCCTCCGCACCCCCACCGCCGCCACCGCTGCCGCCGCCGCCAGGCCGTCGCCGCCAGATAATCTCGACCCGCGGGTCGCGGCTGCGCTCCAGGCGGCAGGATTGCAAGTCAATTTCAGCAGTCCGTCAGCACCCGCCGTCGGCGCCGCCGCTGACGTCAGTGATGTAGTGCCTCCGCCTCCGCCAGCGGTACCGTTGCGGTACCGGCCGTCTGGGAAGAACACCTACCAACCAACGAGTGCGGAGATATTATTGGCCAGAAGGACAACACAGGAACGGTCAACACAGGGCACAGTGTACGGCAAGGTCAGCGATCATACTAATGGGCAGCTCCCAGCCCAGGATGCGATGACGGCAGCGGCAAACGCGGTTACTGGTGGCGGCGGCGGCAGCGGCGGCGGCGGCGGCGACAGCACTGGAAGCCACCTTCCATGGCCGATGCCGTCGGCGTCGGCGGCAGGGGTGACGGCAACCCTGCCGGTAAGTACCGATCAACGAGCACTGTACGGCAGCACCAGTGGGGCCCCAGGAAGAGTCAGCGTTAACAGTTCCGCAACGAAATCCGCCATCGGAAACAACACCGCCGCCGCCGCCGCTGGTGCTCCGCAGGGCAGCAAAGGCGGCGCTGCCGCTGCCGCCGCCGTCACCGTTGGCCATATAAGTGCCGTACCTGGCGGAATGGATGCCCTCCTGGAACGATTGGCTGAAGAGGCCTTCCGTCTTTCGGGTTCTAGTGCTCAGGAGCTTCAGGCCACTGACGCTGATGCTGGCGCTGGCGGAGGCGGCCCAAGCCAGCATCACGCCGCCGCCGCCGGCGCCTCCGTCACCGCATCCACCACCGCCGCTGCTGCTGCTGCTGCTGCTGCCGCTGGTGCGGACGCTGCGTCCAGCATCGGGGGCGTTGCGGGTGCGGGGTCCGAAGCTGGCGGACTGGGCGCCGCTGCAGCAAGTGCCGTTCGCGACGCCGTCGTCGTCGTCGGCGGCGGCCGCGCGCTTCCGCCGCCGTCACAGCAAACATTATCGGCCGCCGAGGAGGCGGCGATGCTGCAGCAAATGGAGCAGCTGCTTCAGCAGCTACAGCGCATGCAGCTGGAGGTAGCAGTGCCAATGGGTGTCGGCGGCGGCGCCTGCGGCGGCGGCGGCGGCACTGCTGTCAGCAGTGGCGGCGGTGGCGACGACGTCTTGCTCTCCGCCGGAGCTTCTTCTCAGCTACAGCCGCTGCTTCCGCTGCCGCCGCCGGCGCCGCCGCCGCCGCTGCAGCCTTCGGAGCAGTGGAACTCGATGGGGGCAATGCCTACGCCGCACAGGCCCGGAGCCGTACGCAGCGACGGCGGCGGCGGCGGCGACGGCGGTGCTACTGCCGCCGCCGTGAAGCTTTCGCATTCGCCGTCTTCTCAGCCACAGCCTTGGCCAATTAACCCGGTCGCCTTCCGGCAACAGCAGCAGCTGCCGCCGCAATACCCCAAACGTGCGCTGCATGCTCAACAAAACGCGGACGAACAGCACTTGACCCAGGACGTGCAACAGCCTCCACGGCAGCAGTCTGTACGGCAGGGTCAAGTAGTCGAAGGCAGGGACGTAGGTCCCGTCGGGGCAGCCCTAGCGGCGGCGGCGGTGGCGGAAGAGGAGGGTCTGGACGACCGGCGAGCGGCGGCTGCGTGGGAGGAGAAGCATCATGAGGTCCCGACGTCACCGCAACAACCGCCGCAACAACCGTCGCAACAACCGTCGCAACTGCCGCCGCCGCAGCAGCAACCACGGTCAGCTTCCCCTGCTCGCGCTTTGTTGGGCTCCCTGATTCGGTCAATACGGTGCGCGGCTATTGCATGTGTGTGTGTGTGTGCGGGGGGGTGATATCTGGGGTAATGCAATCATTAGCACGACAATGCCGTACATTATTATTGTTTGATGTGGGTCGTACATTGTATGTGGAGCTCCTTTCCCTGACGAGGGGGAGGGTGATTTTCTGTTGGAAAGAATCTTGCTGGCTGGTAAGACTGGATTGAGCTGGACTTGGTTCGCGGCCGGGCGCTGGGGGAGGAGGAGGAGAAGAGGAAGAGGAGGGAGCACATCACCTTCGGGGACGGGGATACTTCGCTTCGTGCAGGCCTACGTTTTAACTAATTTTCACTAAAATTCTAGCGCTGTATATATATACATGTATTATAAACAATTTTGTGTGTATAGGTAATATATATATATGTATATATGTGTGTACTACAAAACCTTGTATATGCATTTTGTCTCTGAACGGCGGGTCAGTTTCCGGTCTTGATGTCCCGGCCGGGGGACCTCCTGTGTCGCAATCCCCCTCGCCCCTCCCGCCCCCCCCCCCCGCGCCCTCTTACCCCACATGATGTGTCTCTGGCCGGTTCCTCCCCCCTCTCCTCATCCCCCCCTGGAGTGCAGGTCCCCGTCCAAGTGGCCGTCGTCGCCGTCGCGATCGCGTCGTAACTCCACCGCTGGCGTTACGTCGGCGACCGCGAGTGCAACCGCCACGACGGCGACGGCAGCGGCGGCAGCGGCAGCTGCGGTGGCGGCGGCGACGGCTTTTGTAAACGAGTCCACATCCGAGCCTCATCATGCTCAGTCACACGCCGCCGCCGCCGCCGCCGCCACTGCTACTGGTGTTGCTGCTTCCACGCGTTGTGGTTTCAGCTTCGGCGGCGGCGGCGGCGGCGGCGGCGACGCCACCGCTACGGGTCCTCGAAGGTACTGGCAATGGATTGTCATATTGCCGTACAGCTCCGCCGGGAGCTGCAGGACAGTCCGCAAGCGGGGAATACGACAATCTACCCGTCATCCCGGGAAACGGCGCAGCTGGCGCCAGGGCCGCCGCCGCCGCCACCACCATAACTTTACGGCAAAAAGGAAGCAGCGTCGAAGACCAGCCGACGGAAGAGATCGCCGTGCAGCTGCAGCAGCTGCAATCGCAGTTGCTGGATTTGCAGCAATTTCAGATACAGCTGGAAAAGCAGCAGCGACATCAACACCAAGAAAAACGACAGCAGCAGCAGCAGCAGCAGCAGCAGCAACAGCTCTCGGAACGCCAATTCGGTGCAGCGGGCGGAGCGGCCGTGCCGCCGCCATTTCCGAAGTCACTGGACACCACCACCACCACCATCACCACCTCTCCAGGACGAGCTGGAGCCCTCCAGGGCGCTGTTGTTGTTGCTGCCCCGGGGGGCCCTACGTCGGCGGCAGCGGCGGGCGCGGCGGAGGTGCTGAACGTCCCGACGCCAGACCTAGCGTCATGGCAGCCGCTGCCGCTGCCGCTGCCGACGCCGCATCTTCGTGACGCTCGCGCCGCGAACTTAACCGCCGTCGGCAATGCAATGCTCTCAGGGGCGTACGGTGGCGGCGGCGGCGGCGGCTGCGACGCAACGGCAGCGGCGGACGGCAGGGCCACCGCCCCGGCGGCGGTGCTGCTGCCGGCGGAAGCCATCCGCCGGGGGGAGCTACAGCTACAGCTACAGCTACAGCTACAACAGCAGCAGGCGGGGCCCCAGCGGCTAGGGCCGGCGGCGGCGATGCTGTTGGGTCAGCCAAGTGTCAGCCGGGCTCTTCTCTCGTCCCACCCGATTACGTGTGTGGATGTTGGCGCAGACGGCACAGAATGAATATCGTGCGGAGGGTGATACCTCGGATTCGCGCGCGAGTGGTACGGCGGCACACGTGTGGACGGTTGCGCTGGGTACTGGTTATTCCAGATACGGAATACGACGCCTGCCGTATGAAGTCGTACGGGTTAGTGGGGAGGCGGGTGGTGGCGATTCGTGTATGTGTGCGTGTGTGTGTGTGGTGGGTGGGGGAGAAAGAGGAGGGGAGGGGCATGGGGAGACGGCATCGTGTCTTTTGAACGTACGTACATACATACATGCACACGCACACGCACATGCACATGCACATATATGCATGCATATACTCGTACATACATTGCCCGTGTTTCCCAGGGCTTTGTACTCTCTTCACACTGGTCTCCATCTTTCACCCGCCGAAACAATAAACTTGCCAGTGCCTCACCGTCAGTGCCTCACCGTCATCCACCCCGCCGCCAGCCAGCTGCCGCAACCCGTGGAACAGCACTCACTCACTCACATACATACATACAAACAAACAATCACACATCAGCAGTATTCCTTTCCATTCTTCTTTTTATGCGCCTGCACTCGCGCCATGTATCTATCTAAATTCGGATCTGTAAATATGTTACATGTGTATATGGCCGTGGCGGTGGCGATGCTCTGGCGATGATGGCTGTTTCTTGAAGGCAGCTTGTTGTCGAAGGCATACTCGGGGTGTGTGACGAATGAGGAGCGAGAGGGAGAGAGAGGGGGAGGGTAGGTAGAGCGCAATGGGGGCGAAGTAGAGCGCAATGTACACGCGGGTGTTGTGTCGGATTGTATTGAGAGGCTGGCGTCGATGAAGAGTTGCACGAGCAGTCTTTCATATCAAGGATCTGCAGAACGTTACTGCTTATGTCGGGATGGATGTGGTGATAGCGGTCGCAGTGTTGGCTGTTAGCAGGTCGGTGTGGGGACTGCTGGGTAGCAGGCCCTGCTCCTGTTGTCCAGTTGTTTAGCAGTGTCGTTGTGCAGTACCGCCATACCGCTCCAGCCACGTATCACTGATCAGAAATTAGCTAGATCAGAGAAATTTTAAAAAACTTATGTTTTAAAATGAATATTATTGTTACTGACGACGCGACGGGAAAGAAGTACCAGATAGTCCAGACAGTACCAGAAGTACCAGATAGCCGTACTGACTTATTTTGGGGCGCAACCGCCCAACCGCATACCGGTACGGCAATCTCCGGACAGACGCCAACGACCCGGGTGGTCGCCGTGAAGCGCAGCCGCCGCCAGGCCACTTTTGTTCGATGGGTGATGTCGTACGGGGTGTACCGCAATTTCCGTACATAACTCCGCCGGATAGAATAATAAATAAATAAAATATCATTATCGCGGCCGCACGTGTGAAGTTATGCCACTGATGGAGGGCTGGCCATCCAGCCAGCTCGGTGTGTTGCAATCGGGTGTAGTAGCTGGTCGCTGAAAAGCCCTTCCGAGGTATGCTGCTCAAGCGCTTCGCGCGTACTTATAGTTGTTGTGTGTGCCGTACTGTGTACGGCAGCTACTACATCGGGCCAGTGGCCAGCACTGTATGTTCCCCCCCCTGCTGCTGGTGGCGGTGGCGGTGGCGGTGGTGGTGGTGTTGGTTATCCTAATCCTAACAGAACCCCATCTGTTGTTATTTGTCCGCTTTCGTAACATCTCCTGTTGACATCATGTGACTGATCGAATTCCATGCATACGCATGACTTGCATTGAAGTTCTTAACAAGCGAAAAAAACACGGACATACTTGACAGGGGTAGAAGTTATTATGACCACCACGACGACGGACTTCAGTAATATAAGTGACATAAAATATGAATCTCATTACTTGCTGTGCATCATCGATCATCATCGTTCCAAGTGATAGTACCTCCTGTATGTCTGTATGTATGTAAGTACGTGCATAATGGCCGCGTGTGTGGTATGGTATAAGTCATTTTTGCCGTGTAGGCAAGAGTGGGAGGAATGCTAAGGGAATGCAGGGTGACTGCTGGTTTTTGGGGGTTGGGAGGGAAAGGCGATCTCTTTAGTCGAATGGAGCGACATGGAAACGAGAACACGCGCGCGATCCGCGAGGATCATGCCGTATGATTAGGATTAGATCTGCGTAGATTTGGGGAGCATGGACGGACGTGTTGCCAATCAATCAAGTAATAAGTATAAGGGCTGTTGGTTGCCGATGTTGTTCGTTTTTAGTTGCCTCGGCTGCTAGAGGTTAGACTCGGCTACGTGTGGGTTGGCTTTAATGACAATGTTCTCGGCTGCGGGTCACATACAGCTCGTTATTTCCGTCATCATCCTAATAAACATTTTCGATCGGGCGCCCGCGTACCGCTGGCGCCGAGGAAAGGATGTTTTTGGACATTTCCTTGTGAAGTCATATTTCGAGACCCGCACACGCAGCCGGAGGAGGAGCCTAAATAGGCTTTTTATTTTTTTTTTGCTGCGGCCATTGCGGCTGTGCGACCCGCCGAACCCGCCGCAGATCCTACCAATTGACCTCTGTGCTAGCTGTAGGAATATGTGCGTATGTATGTATGTGTGCAGTCGTCGCTATCTGCTCTGTTACCAACCTCTCTTCGTTCCAACAGTGCATTGATAATGTTCCTAATTGACCAGAAAAGCAAAGAGTGTGTATAACTAGTTGCGGATTGCGCACGACGGCGCGGCTGCACAGCACCCCGTATGTGCGTGGTTAATTTGGACCCTTACAATAATTGAGAAAAAATAAATAATGACAACGTACTGTAAATCTCTGGACAGATAAGAGGCGCAATGTCCTGGACTCTGTATTTGCATGGGGGTTGCCTTGTTGCCTAAATAGGTGCATTGCGTAACTTAAGAGGGCAGGAGGTAGCTACAGCAGGAACGCGGGGATATCATTTGTGGTCCCCGGCACGTGACCCAGGTGAAACGGCATTACATTACAGTACAGTCCAGTACGATACACACTCCGCGTGCGATGAATTGGCGCGGGTATTATTACCTAGGCCATGCCCAGGTCGTCTTTATTCGCATTGGAATTTGTACGTCTTTGTACACCGCCCTTTTTGGAACTATTCGTAATTATGCAGCAAGCCGCCGCACAGCTGCAGGATCTTGCTACGCCGGTTTGTTAAGTCTATTAGCATTTGCCGATTTGGAGTAGTTACTGGTCTCATCTATGTCTGTGCTGGCATGTTTGATTTGTGACTTGGTTTGCGGACAGCTGCTGGCGCAGGGCCTGACAGGGTTAGCAGGGTTGTGACAGGCCTATGACAGCTTCGCAAAGACATGTCAAGCCTTGAATATTAGTATATTTCTTGAATCCTAGAGAGCTGCTTTTGGTCAGCAATCCTGTAGCATCTCGCCGCTGCCTCTATTGCCTGTTATGGCCACGCATAATTTGTAGGTAGTTCCAGTTCCAGCTGTAATCCGACCGGAGCACCTGACGAGCTTTACTGATGAAGCCCTACTAATTACATAAATTGGAAAGAGAACGTGCAATAGGGAAGTTTACTTTGACTTGTGAAAGCCTTAAGATATAAAAGATTCGCAAGGACTATTACCTAAGGTACGGCTAAATTAAAATGAAGCCTCAGCAGTTGGCTTTTCGGGCATGTTTATCATCACGTATGCGTCACTCGGACTAGCAGCTAGGACAAGCCCATGCAGCATAGAGATTTACAACATCGACATTTCCTATGCCGATTATTATGCCGATATATGAAAATGTGATGTTAATCACTATGCTATAAACGTCATTGTAATTTATCCTGGAATCTATCATTATCAATGTCACGGATTTTTCACGGGTGATCAACGCGCGATCGGCTTTCGCAAACTGATTTCCCGTTAATCTGCACAGCATATAATGTAATGTAATCTAATGTCACGTAATGTAATGCATATATAACATATCTTGAAATTTTCCACACCTAAAGCAGAGCCTGCCGCAGTCGCGACTAGGACTAGTCCTCGAGGTACGCGTTTGACTAGCGAGCGATGGCAACGTCTCCGCGCCGAACTCCACTAGGCTGGTTCCAGCTCATGACAGGATCAAAAAGTGAATCCATGTACTAAACACATGGCTACCACAAGGATTTGTGCGGCCTCCCCCTCTGCAGGTCTCAGACAGGGGTTCCAGGACAGGGGTCCATGGACGACTTGTCTGACGTCATTCTGTCATACATCCGTTTTCAAAATGATGGCACGGTAAGGTGCTTACGAGGAAATCCTGAAACGTCGCGTACATGCGTGCGTTACCGCAGTGGCCGCCTACGCACGTCCCCTGTACTCTATTACCATTCTGCCGCCAGGCTTCCGATGGAGACCGCGAATTTCTAGACGGCTTTCCCTGGCTGCTAGAGTGCACTGATGCCTCGGATGACCTGAGCATCGGCTGCTGCCCTTCTAGCCAGCAGGATGGTGGAAACGGCGGTATCGCCATCAGCAGCAGCGGCTACACCGTCGGAGAAGGCCTAGATAGTGACATAGGCCCAGGCTGCTACTGCAATGTCAGCGGCAAGGACACCGGTGTCGCTACAGCCGCCTCGCTGCTCCCGGCGGCCCTGGCGGCTGTGTGGTCGCCCTCACTGCAGCTGCAGCAGCAGTCACCGCAGCCGCATATGCCTGTTTCAAGGCCACTGATGCCGCCGCCGCCGATGCAGTCGAATCTGCAGCTACGGCTACCGCCGCAGCCGCCATCGCTGCAGCCGTCGCCGCAGCCGCATATGCCTGCGTTTAGGCCCCCATCATCACTGCTGTTGCGACCTCCGAGCCAGCAGGTACAGCTGCTGCCATGGCAACAATGCCAACCGCAACAGCCGAATCCATGTCAGCCACAGCACCTGCCGGTGTGGCAGCCGTGGGCAAATTGTGCCTCAACATCAATGCCTGCGTCAGGAGCAACTCAAGAAGTTGCAGCAGCTCAAGTTGCCCGGTACCTTGCTGGTGCTGGCCCCGGTGACCCTGCTGCGACTGTTGATACGTACATGGGTAGCAGCGCTTGCTGCTGGCAGCTCCTTCAGCAGAGTAGGGCTGACTATCAACCCGTCTTTCCACAGCAGCAGCAGCAGCAGCCGGATGGGCCGTCATTGCCCTCTACAGCAGCACCGTTACTGGCGGCGTCGGCGGCTTTTTCAGAGTTCCGGCCACCTTATTCTTCTCCTCCGGTGGCGGCGGCGCTGCCTCCCTCGGCGGCGGCATCCTATGGTGGCTCTTCTCCCTTCAGCACGGTCTCGTCGGGGCTGCCAACATCGCCTTCACTGCCCTGGCAGTCACAACAGCCAGTCCAGGGAGCGTCCGCAGCGGCACTCCCGCCGGTTTCGCCGCTTCCATCGCTGCCGTCAGCTGCATGGCCTTCGACTTCTCCAATGACGCTGGTGCGGAAGCTGGGACTGCGGGCCGAGGGACGGACGCCCCACGCCGTGGTCATGGATGTGGGTGCTCTGCTATGTAGGTATAACCACGGTCGTGGTGGCGGCAGTCGCGGCGATGGCAGTGGCGGCAGGGGGAGCGGCGGCACGGCAACGGGAACGGAATTGGAGGTTCACGACAAATGGAGTGAGGTGCCTGCCGGCAACAATCAGCACGCCTTCCTGGCGCACAGCGGGATGCAAGGGGCCCTCACTAACCTTTGTATGTGTCTTACGTATCGCAACGATCTGCGATCTGCGTGCTTTGTACGGAAGTTGTGCGATAAAAGCGATTCCATATCCCAGATCCGCAGCTCTACAGCTCGTCCTTATTTGTCCTTCTACCACCTCTCCGCTTCCGTATCGTCCTCACCCTCCCTCCTTTCCGTTCGGTCTTGTATTTCTGGGTTGGAGTTAACCTCGCATCCCTTACTCGTCTAAAAGCTCGACGCACTTACCCAATTCCACCACGTAGTAACGTGTCGCGCGCGGCCAGCCTCACCCTCACCCTCACCCTCACCCTCACCCTCACCCTCACCCTCACCCTCACCCTCACCCTCACCCTCACCCTCACCCTCACCCTCACCCTCACCCTCACCCTCACCCTCACCCTCATGTATCACCACAGCCGGCACGGCCTCCAGCAGGAAACCGGTGCACCTGCCGGGCTGCCAGTTCCCTGTCACCACCACATCCGCGGCGGGTGTCGCTGCACCAGCTGCCGCTACAGCCGATGCCCCAGCTGGCGCCGCAAGCCCACGAGGGGGCAGCAGTCTTCCGCAGCCATCGGGGGGAGCGGTCTTCGCAATCTCCATATCCGGTGTCAGGTGTACGTGTGGAACGACGTACAACAAAGCATGCAAGGCAGCCGGTCATCCACACTGGAAGGTATAATACGTGGACACGGATCTGTGCCCTTAGTTATGTCCGTCCGCAGACTCGCCTGCTGGCAGATCTTGGTGCATTGTTGTTTGGCAGGTTGGCTATTGGCATGGCATGTGGCATGGCATGGCATGGCATGCCACCATCCCTCCATCGCTTCCACGCCACCACCCATCCGCCCATCCGCCATCCACACACTTCCAACATCACAGGTCATTAAGTACATGCTGGCCTATGAGGTCTGCCCAGCGGAGCACACGGGACTTGCCGCCACTCTTTACAAGGACTTTGCTGCCGGCAAACAAAAGGGAGTTGAGACCAAGCAAGTCCTGTGGGTGACCACAGAGGGACACGTCGTGCTGTGGCACGTCAGGCGCCCGAAAGAAAAGGGTGGCGCCAGCAGCAACAGAGACCACATGGCGGCCGCGGGCGCTAAACGGATGCGATGATTGGGGTGCTGGAAGTGATAGCGGAGGAAGGTAACGCGGTCGTGAAGGCTGTGGTCATACTGCCGCTGCCACCACCGCTGCTGGTAGATGCCACTTCGGCTGCAGCTGCGCTCGTCGAAATGCTATATGATTTCGTGCACCTAGCTATTGGAACAAGAAGTAATGATGATGATGTGCCTGCTGCTCGTTACGTTGCGGGCTCTCTTCCTATGACCTGCTCCGAAGTGCAAGGCGGCGTGACGACAGGCTTCTGTGCCAGATAAAGCATAGAGTTGGCTTCTACACGCTCGTGAAAAAGGTGCCGGCAGATGTACATACATTCTTTGATGGTCCACCAGCCAGTGGTCCGCTGCAGCTCTTTTTCCTCTTCTTTATTTGTAGGAATGAATGGACTGACGTGCGTGCTGGAGTGCGTCCTACCTATGCACATACAGCACTACATACTCTTGTCGTACGTGCAAGTCATTTCTCGTACGTGCAGGCACGGGCAGGGGCTCCGTCGTGGCGTGCCGCCGCCTCCGCCGCATCACATTCCGTAGGCGTGGCTCTGCCAATGCGTCCATTTAATACCCCTTTGGCGATTACTGCAGGAAACGGCCTTTTTGATTAAACACGGTGATGTCAGTAGTCCTGCTTGTGTTAGCGGACAGCTCCTGGCAGGCGTACTCGTTCAGAGGCTTGCTTTTCAAGAGGGTTTGCAAAGGTCGGGTTCTCGGGATGTATGCTCCAAGGCGTCTTCGGAGGCCGAAGTTGTGTCGGAGGCGGACCTGCAGGTGCGACTGCAGGCCCTGCTGATATCGATGTTATGGCTGGGCAAGGGGTGGTGCGTCGCATTGACGACGGAGCCCATGCCCGTGCCACTGGCGCGTCAGTTAAACATTTGGCCACCTATAGGTCACCAAATCTCGTATAATAGGTGAGGACCGTCCCTACCTTTCATTATTATAGGAGATTGTCGCCTGTAGGGACGTGCCCGCCCAAATGGCCATTCTTTGTCGAAGTAACTCAGGTTTAAAGCAATGCCATGCCATACCATGCATGAACCTGCAAATTTTTGTTCATCCGTTAATAAGTTGGTGTGCAGCTGCAGCAGCCCTGCAGTAGCCCAGTAGCGGTGTATGTGCGTATGTATGCCTTGGTATGTCCGATTGTCACATTCATGTTCTGCTGTGATAGATGTTCGTCTGTATGTGCACCTTTGTGCGTCCTATTCCGGCCGGCCTAGGGAGAATCAGCAAAACAAATCTACTGTGAATCAATCCCTAGCTAGGCAAGTTGATGAAGTGACGTTGGCATGTCTGCCGTTTGTGGCACCCGTGCACCCAGCACCCTTCCGGGCTTGGAAAGAAATAGGCACCGTCGATGCCGTAGATATACGTGCCGCATGCATGACATCTCGTAAGACATTACGTAGTTTATGTGGCAAGGGTCGTCGGCTGCTGGTTTTTATGGTTTGGAAAGGGGTCTTCATCATCGGCATGGTCGTTCGGTTCCTTCCGTCATTCATCGAGAGCCGGATGCATGACAGGCATGCAGACGTGCAGACATGTAGACATGTGATGTGAGTTTTAAGGATGATGGCGATAGATGTTGGAAAAAAAAGTCTTATTAGGATGTATCTGTCTATCTAGCACCTGTGTGTATGTGTGCATTTATGCAAAGAAAGTATTCGGTTCGTCTGTCGTATTCGGTTCGCCTGTCGTATTCGGTTCGTCTGTCGTATTCGGTTCGTCTGTCGTTCCATCGGCGTATGTCGAGAACGAACAGCGATGTGTTATTATTGGTCGGTTTGCATGTATACGCCGTGCATATGTGTGTTCGTTCAGTAGATGGCATAGAAAGCAATCATGTATGTGTACATGTAGGGCGGGCCCCATCACATACCCCCCTCGTCGCATATGGATGGTTTTGCATGGGAGCCCGCTCGGCCGCCGCCACGCAGCTGCTCAATGCTATGAACGTTTAGCTATGAAAGTTTAGCCATCACATACCACCATCGCCCTACTAAGCGGATGGCAGGTAGGTATGTGGTGATGAGATGGCAAGAGAGATGGTGCGTGTTTTTGTTGCTGCTGCTACTCGGGCGCCGTGGATGGGTGAGGGGGCGGCGGGAAGAGCCGGCCCCGCCCGCCCGCCCTTTAGCTGTTGAATCCGTTGCTCGAATGTGTGAATAATTAGATATAGGACCGCTAATGTCGACCTGTATTTGCTCGTTGCATGACAATATACACGTTGCGTTTGCCAAATAGGATGTGGGACTGTCACCAGCTTCGCTGGCTGGCTGGATTACGGAATGTTTTCGTTGCCCTAGAGGTTGTTAAGACAAGGTTGATACAGTAACGGATTAACGGAGTTGGAAGTTGCATGTGTGCGCCTTTAGCTGCTTGCTGGCTGGCCGGCAGCTGGCTGCTGGCTTCATGCAGACCGGGAAAACTGGCCGGTTGGTTTCCGGCTGGCTGGGACATACATGTGCACATACATACATACATACATACCTGGTGGCTGATAGACATGACTAGTCAACAAGTACTTGCTAAGCAGGGCAGAAAGAAGAGGGCACGCAGACACGCATAATGCTGTGTCCGTTTATCCTTGCCGAGGTTGGATGGCACATACAGATTATTGCTTCGTTGGATGTCGTTGGATGTCGCTGTGTACGTGGTGAATAAGGCTATAGCCTTATCACTAGCTAGTGATGCATGCCGAATGAAATATTGCACACATATCGTCCAGAAATCGTGGTTTGTTATTTGTATGTGTCGGTACATATATTGCGTCATAAACATCTGTTGTTGTAATGATGCATCGTCGGGGCGGCCAGTAGTGTGCACCATCCCGCCTGCAGGCGGTATATATGGTTGTTGTATGTGTGACGTATGCTGTACCCCCTACGTAGGGGGGTACAGCAGCTTCAACCATGCCCACTAGCTTGCCGCATTCCTACCTTCATTCAAATTCAGTGGTACCCTCATCCTTCCGAGTCAGAAGTTCTGACTGTAGTAGTGTAGTAGCTGGCCGCTGAAAAGGCCTCTCGAGATGCTAGCCATGGCGGTCGCGCTTAGCGTGTATTTGTACTATTACAAGTAGCTGGTACACAGTACGGCACACATAACCTCTACAAATACACGCTAAGCGCGACCGCCAGCATCCCGAGAGGCCTTTTCAGCGGCCAGCTACTACACTGACCCCTGCCAACATACATCTGTGGAGTCGGGGATGACGAATCCAGCACCCACAACCAGCATCAAATGTAATCCCAGACCATCGGCACCGTCAACAACTTCGAAGGTTTAGCAGTGCATGGGAGTATGCTGAGTTTTTGTTATGTTAGTTTTTGGATGTATTGTAGTGTGAGGTGATCTCAGTACTGGTTCTGGTTCTGGAGCTAACTACTATGGCTGGAAGGCCTGCCAGCCATAGGCTCCTCGGTACAGGTTACGTAGATTAATTGATCTATCCCCTTATAACGGGATAGGTATAGAGCGAAGGGGAAAAACAAGACCCTAGGGTCTTGTGCTATTGTATCTACATAACCTGTAATGAGGAGCCTGCTCTGTATCCGCTGCCTAATTCAACAGGTTATGAGCCCCGGTAGGCTGCACCTAAGCTAGCTCCACTGTGCATCCATGATGTACACGCGCAGGGAGAGGCGCGAATTCTTGTCGATGCCCACGCACTCGTCCATGCTCAGCGAAATTAATTGTGCGCCCTGCACCAGCTCCCTGACCTTGTCCATCAGTACCCCATCCAGTGCCTCTGCGAGGTTCCAGGCCGAGAAGCTGTCACGCCAAAACATCTGAAGCGCACAAACTCTGTGCCACGACCTAGTTAGTCGCTATCCACAGGTGGTTAAGCCAACCGAAGGTAGTTGGACGAATAGCGTTTTGATTCAGTTGAGATTTAGGGCACTACTTGACTAGCGTATAAGGCGCTTTCCGTTGTGGTTTGAGGATGTTCAGTGTTATTCATCTGTCGTTAGTCGGATGAACGCTACGCATCTGGGATAGGGCATCGTGTGATAAGGCCCGGCGCGGATCAGTCGATCCCTCGCCATAAGTGTGAGTGCGAAGAGGCCAAACTTTTTGTCGTTTGGCTCTCGAAGCAACTCTTCGTGAGCGTACAGACCAATAAATATTAAGGATAATATAATCACAGGTGGGCAGCCAAGCCCGTTTTTATGTAACAAGCCCATAAAGTGGGTCATATACCTGCACATAAATATATGACATGCGGAACATGACAGGGTCATATTGCGCACGGTATTCCATGATGCAACAATGCAGGCCATGACCACCCTGGCCCATGTTTTGCACTCATTCCAGGAGTTGTACACTGCGTTCCATGACCACATCGGCACATGCTTTGCTTGGTTTACATGAGTTGTACACTGCAGTCCATGACCACATCGGCACATGCTTTGCTTGGTTTACATGAGTTGTTCACTGCAGTCCATGACCACATCGGCACATGCTTTGCTCGGTTTACATGAGTTGTTCACTGCAGTCCATGACCACATCGGCACATGCTTTGCTTGGTTTACATGAGTTGTTCACTGCAGTCCATGCAATGACCACGTCGGCACATGTTTTGCACACATCCCATGAGTTGTTCACTGCAGTCCATGACCACATCGGCACATGTTTTGCACACATCCCATGAGTTGTTCACTGCAGTCCATGACCACATCGGCACATGTTTTGCACACATCCCATGAGTTGTTCACTGCAGTCCATGACCACATCGGCACATGTTTTGCACACATCCCATAAGTTGTTCGCTGTGGGCTTACAAGTCATGACCAGCAACCCATCATCCCGTGGGCTCCAAACCCCAAGTCAGCCGTCAGAAATAAATGTATGTACTCCAAGACTCCACACCGTTAAGGCTCAAAACCTCGATGTTGTGATATCACGGCATCAGTATCTTCAATAATTTAACTAATAACCGGGGGCTATGTAAAGCTTAAGCCTTGATTTCTGTTATATCACAACTTCGAAAAATACCTGTGTGAATGGCTTCCCTATCCTGCCTGATAGCATAAACCAGCATCAGCTGTAAGAAGGGTTCAGCTCCCTTGGCATCTCCTTGAGTACTCTTTGCCTAATGTCACATCAGCCAGCATATCTGTAGTCCTCGGGCTCATCGTAGCAAACGACACCAACATCCTGCAAGCATGAATCCATATGAATTCAAAGGATGGGATGGGTAGGAAATAAGCAAAGCGTTATTGTCCTTTGTTCCAAATTTGTGATGTATCATTTATTTACATATATAACATTATACTTGCTGTATACTATATAGCTGAGGTGGATGCTGTCATGGCTGCTGATGCAGCCGAAGCAGGGGTAGAGGACGGGTGGCAGGGGGCCATGCAGCTGCAGCAGCCAGGGAAGGTGTCGGGCAGTAGGCTGCAGCAGGTATGTGGCCATGTCAGGCTGCATTCCATGGGTTTGTACAGGGGCCAGGGCTGATAGCTGAGTTGCTGAACAGGTGTTGGGTTGTCTGTCGTACACGCACATATGTTAGGGTACGGCACTTGGTGCAGCTCACAGTATACTGCACACGTAGATAGTATCGAAGCGCGAGATTAGCACCTGTGAGGTCTTTTTTTGTGCAATAGGATTCGAGATAGTACATAACTTTAACAATCTGAAGTCATAGGTTCAACCCCATCAAATAACATGTAATGCGTTTCGGGTGTTACTTCGCACAGAAAATCGTGCCGTCAAGTATCAGGGGGGGTGCCTGAGAAATGTGCACTCGACGGCCTGAGGATAGGTGAGGAAGCACAGGCCGGTGAATGTGGCTGAAAGGTCCATGTTTTTTTCATCACGAACACCCCTTCATCACGACCCCGACCTTCCACACATGGAGGAACTCGGTTAGATAACTAATTCCACAAAAATCGTGTCAAAAAGCAGCTGTGCTTGTCTGGGAAGACTCTGTACCTGCTGAAAAACTCAAGTTGGCTGGGTGTATGAGATCTAGAGCATTCATATGAGTTAGCGGCACATGACAGCCTGGGGATAGGCGATGGCATGCGCAGGCACAGGCTGGTGTGTGTGGCCGTAAGGGCCCGACACACATCCCTCCAACGGGGGAGGAATTCCTCCGGAGGGATCCCCCATTCGAATGTAGAAGCTGGTATGCGGTACGTCACACGTATCAACTACAAATACATGTGAAGTGCTCCACCAGCATCTCGAGAGGCCTCTGTTCCAACCTGGTATGATTCTCAGCTTAATTCGTTATTCTGGATGCCCTAGAGGCCTCTACAGCTAGAAGGGGGATAATTGTAGTATACTGGGCTGGTCACATGGCAAGCAGTTGTATTCCAACCATATCATGCAAGTGCATGCCATCTATCACATCGTGCACACCTCGGAGTGGACGCAGTTGTGAATTCCCCAGCCATTGGAGTTGCACTGGTACAACCGAGTGTCGGTCCAAGTGCAGACCACATTGTCCTGCAAACAAAAATGCAAGTGGTAGGTGGCAAACCGCCCCAGGTTATGCATGTACATAAGGCTATATATGTACTACAATTTCTGGTCACCTAAAGGTGAGACTCACATAGGTGGGTAGGTAGGGACCAGGATTACGAGGTAGGTAATTCTTGTAATCTATTGAACATCGATGGGGATTGCACATGTAGCCTGTGACAGGTTGCATGTAAATGTACGTCTGTTCTCATTTCTGTCGTCTGTAGACCACGGTCTACACGGCCGTGTCCTGGTATCTATATATAGCTAGTATCTATAGATAGGTATCTACTAGATACGTATCCACTTGTAGATGACGTGTGTGCCGTACGTGTGTATACTGTACACGTGACAGCTGATACACACACGCGCATCTATATGTAGACGTAGTCTATAGCTATAGGCGACACCATACTATAGAAACAACTACACATGCATGCCAGCACTTTTAGTTACCTGAGGATAAAATATAGGCAGGGTTTAATATGCAACAGAAGACGCAACAATAATGCCACATCAAAAGCAGGATGATGGATAAATGAACACGAGCGAGAGGAAAGGCCTTCATAAATACACGAGTTCGCCGAGGTACTCCACGCAGCTACTACACCTGGGTATGCATGCATGCATACCCGCACATACACCTTAACTAATTTACTCCATTATTTCAGTTGTAAACTTGCAAGCTGCTCTGTGCCTTATGCTATATGGCTACTAAAGCTCCGAATGTGGACTGCACTTAAGTGCTTGTAACAGGAACTTCCTGAAGCTTCTTGTTACAAGCAACTATAGTTGCCGCATTCCTTAGCTAAGGAATGCGGCTTCCAGCCGCCATATAAATTTATCGTTAGTTGTATGTAACAAGAAGCTTCTTGTGTTTGCTTAAAGGAACCAAACCACAATTCCATAAATACGACAGAGATCTCTAAAGGACAACAGCAGAGAGGTCTGACCGGAATAAAATCTAGTGTTGTCCTTTAGATCTATAGATCTATAGATTTTATTTTATTGTTATGAATTAGCTAATTCACAAGAATTTCGAAGGTGACGCAGATTGCTTACCAATAGAATAGGTCCAGAGCCTCCGCCCCATCCTGAGACAGCATAGCCGCCCAGATACCCCAGCTCCCGGCAAACCACTGAAGCTTCTACGTCGGTGAAATAGTCGTCACTGCGCGAAGAGTAACACGATCGTGTTACATACATACATGTCAAACACGAACAGCATGCAAATACGATCTACTGTTCACCTGCAAGCTGTACACATATCACAGTAGTACATGTTTGATGGGCAAGCTTGCATTTGCGTTACTAACTAAATGCAATGTCTCAGCTCGCTCTAGCTATCGGCAAGTGGGCCTTGTGCTAAGGCCAGGCATAGGTTCTATTATTACTTATATCATTATATCGCCAATAAACTTTTACAAATTTAACTATCATTACATGTACGTGTACAATAGCTATAGCTATTATGGGTAGCTAGTGCGGAGTCAATCAAAAAGCCTGCCATCGCCTTATTTTACATATGTACTACATAGTATGCTCATTTCCCACAGCTGTGGGAATTGTCTGGCTTGGCTGCTGCAACCTCTCGCTACAGCAGCACCTGCAGGAATTACTCAGCCTGGATGTGCCCACCCCCGCGCTCGCAAGAGCGGAACTAATGCCATATATATCGGGCGTCCAGGTGTGGTGACGTCGCGGAAGGAGTCGACTCCTCCGACATTCAATTCAAGCTGAAGTGAAGTTGGAGGAGATGCTTGCGGGACGGCAAAATTTGCTATATGGCAGGGCCCTATCGCTGATGACAAGCAAGCAAGCAATCCATTATAATTACAGGCACGGAAGTGTGTCGCGATCGGTGTGTTGTTGTTACAGTGGGCTCCAGACTCCCGAAAAGTAGAGTGTGTGTGCTTAGTTATCCTGCCTGCGGATTAAAAAACGTTTATGACTGGATCCAGCCTATCTATAGCTAGGTGTCCTTGTCTACTGGATGCATGAGTGTATATGTCCAATCATCCATGTACATTTATACAAGCTTTCAAGTCATGAATATCACTCACCAAACGGTGCCCCACTGTGTGCCGTCGTAAATCTCAACACGGCCCTCAGAAGGCGAATTTCCACCCACGAGTCTGAGCGAGTAAACACCTGGCGGAGGTGGTGGGTCGGCTGCATGAGGCGAGGCTAGCCTTCTCCAGCTGGTGATTGGAAAGATACCTTTGGTGCCGTGGATGGCAGGCTAATTAGCCTGGTGGAATTCAATAAAATAATTTGCAAATTATTTTATTGGATTCTACCTGACTGACCTAAGTGGTTGACGGGGGCCTGGCTGCACACAAGTACCCCCCAGGATCCGGTGTGCAGGTGCACAATTACAAGCTACTAGTAGTAGCTTATAATTATTACCTTGCTTGCTGAACACCGTGCTGAGGTGAAGTAAGCATTATTAGTGGAACAGCCTTGAGCAAGGATTTCGCTAATGTACGCCATTAGTCACGCATGCCAGATGCTCATGCATGTTCTTAAATATATTTAAAAATGCTTATATAAGCATTCTATAACCAAGCCGTCGTGATACTGCAGGTGGTATTATTATCCTGTCAGAGACGCTCGTATACAGGCATGCAAGTGCGCCGCCGTCGTGTCATAGCCAGTCACATACACTTACCATAGCAACTGACGCCGACATCCTGCAAGCGCAAATCCGAAACAGACATGTAACGGGTAAATCGGCATGCTATATTTGTCTACAGAACACCGGTATTACCAACAGTTGCAAGAGTGTTTAAAAACATACATACACAAATACATATATACATTCTGAACGCTTTGAGCGCAAGTTTGTTCTATCCTTGTGTGAATAAATTATGATTTGTCCATGTCCATGTTGATTGTGTACACAGTGACTTCTTGTTATTACGCCGTAAAATTATTATGTTCAGATTCAAATGTCTGGTTTGGCTGGGTGTCACATCTGCATTATACGTTTTAACGACATGGATTCGAATCCTGGGTAGACCCCCGACTATGTCGGATGTATGAGATTATGACTAGGTGCTGAGATGTGGCATTGCGGTCACTGTTGAAGAATCGGGATCGAACGACGGATTGGTGGCGAATGCTTGACCCTCTGTGCCTTCGGGTGTGTGCATTCGCAAACGGGATGTGCAGTTAGTATGGCGTAGTACAATCTGGTAATGGTGGATGCTTTATGGTGATAGACCGTAGAAATGACAAAGTCGTCAAATGGCCCAGAAGCCTCCCACAATGTATTTTAAAAAAATAACCCATATATGTATAAAAGCGTGTGCCGCAGTAAACGTGAATCTGGATGATAGGAGATGGCATAGTAAATATGTGGACAAATATTGGTGTTTCAAGCAAAGCAACTTGCACAGACGTTGAGTAGAGAGGCAACTAACTACGAGAGATGGAGCTTCGTAAGGTGGTGTGCCCAAGTCGCCTGCAAAGCGTTAAGGAAGGTTATTGAGGAGCAGCTAGACGTCTGCAAGGTTTTTGATTGTTTACAGATCATGTCCTGGTATATTAGATAAGGGACCGTACCCTTCTATATACCAGGGTTCGGGCTATAGATGATCAAAAACCATGCATACATGCATACATAAATATGCTTACACACCTCGCTGTGGTCGCAGTTGTTAACACCCCAGCCCCTGAAGGAGCACTGGTACAGCCGGGCTGGTGTCGGGGAGGCAGAACAAGACACGTCATCCTGCGAAGGTGCAAATAAATAAATGCTGGTGAAGAGCAGAGTACATTTATAGGAAACGTGAAGAGTTGAACGTGCGTCTAGGTTTAAACAATTCTGCTTTTCCTTGATGTACGTATGTGCATGCATCACACTTCTGCACAGTGACAATGTAATAGCTGGCCGCTGAAAAGGCCTCTCAAGATGCTGGTGGAGCGCTTAGCGCGTATTTATAGTTGTTTTATGTGTGCCGTACTGAGTAGTAGGTACTACAGACAAGCGTGCTTGTACTTACCTCACGTACCATCGCAGCTGTTGTGTGGCCATGGCCAACACATGCTAAGGTTTTCATTCCTCGTTTAGTGCATCGTAAGCTAATGCAGTTTCGTTTATGTTGCTTGGCTTTGTAGGCAAACAGAGCACGACGGGGCAAGCACCATGTCCAGGGAGCAGCGGTTTTATTAACACGCGTTATTGGAATGCCCAGCCTATAATGATATCCGCGCGGAAGAGGGATTAGATCATCAACAAAGCATGTTGGAGGCCATGAACTGGGAACCAGCACGTCTGGCGAGGATATTCCTCATATGCTCCAACATCGATGCAACTCAGTTATCCCCTTCGGGCGCTAGTTTGGCCTGATAGTGCGGTGTTTCCTTCACTCCGTGGCTTTTAGGCGTTGTAGTATTCCCCGTGGGCCTTCGGATTGTATGGGTAGTTCTACAAGTATGGGGTCACGCAACCCCAATTATGTGAAACACACACACACACACATATACATATACACTCACCATCAAAATGGTTCCGGAGCCACCCCCGAAAGTTGGCAAGGCGACGCCGATTCTATACCCTAACTCCCGGCAAACCACCGAAGCCTCTCTATCACCAAAACCATCATCGCTGCGTAAACAGGCAGGCATGGTCCAGAAGTTATGCCTTGCCAAACTTGTAGTACCAGGCAAAGAGTACTGAGGGAGATGCCAAGGGAGCTGAACCCTTCTTAAAAAACTAAGTAGCGGGGTCCACTTTGTATATTCTGTTAAGTGATAGGCAGGCATTCGGACATTATTAAGCTACTCACCTAGCTGCAGCTGTCTTAATTTGTGGTTAGGAACGATGTGAACCACAGCGGAGATCGGCCACTGGGGCCTCCATACTTATGTTTATACAGCATGAATGCAATTGATGATGCATAATAATGCAGGTAAGACAGGCATCGAGGGGGCTCCTGCTGCTGCATTGACCTTATTACCTCCCTGCCGATTCATGTGGGCGATATGGGGATATTGTCCATACGTCAAGCGAGCTAGGTACTGTTTGTAAATCAGGTAATTCAGGTTCAACAGTTACAGGCACTCACCAAACCGTGCCCCATTGCACACCGTTGTAGACCTCCACACGACCCTCGCTAGGAATGCGTCCGCCCACAAGCCGGATTCCGTAGTTAGTAATCAGTCGTGGTGATGGTGGTCGTGGCGATGGTGGCCGTGGAGATGGTGGTCGTGGCGATGGTGGCCGTGGAGATGGTGGCCGTGGCGGCGGTGGTCGTGGCCATGGTGGTGATGAACGTGCTATAACCGAGTTGTTTGAAGAATAGGAATGCATCCCCATCATCGAGGGCGGGGAGGGCGGGATTTGTTAAGCAATATGTTCGTATATACACAAACGTACAATTGTATAAGTGTTATTGTACAAGTGTTTTGCAAAACACTTGCGGCTTGCGCTGTTAGCTTTGTCGTTATGTTGCAAGAAACTGAATAAATGGAATCTCGATTGATGCATTTAAGAACAATAGATACTTGTTGCCAGATATATATGCCCGGAATATATTCAGTCGTACGTGCGCAGCTCGTCAATTTGTGTCTTTCTCCATCACTGTTAGTGCGGCTATGCACACATGCGTGTTAGATGCTGCTAAACAAATAAACTGCTGAAAGCCCTTCCTGCAAACTTGGACACGATTTTGATGCCCCTATGGCAGCCAAACTGCGTGTTACGGCCCCCCCTGGACTAGTTACTCCTGAGCCCCGTAGCGACCCCGTAGCGACCCCGTAGCGACCCCGTAGCGACCCCGTAGCGACCCAGTGGCGGGGCAGTAGCTCGTGTGGGAGCACTGGGCCGCTACTGCCCCGCTACTGGGTCGCTACTGGGTCGCAACCCGTCTCCTGAGTAACTAGTCCAGTTGCTAGGGGGGGCCATAACACGTCGTTTGGCTGCCATAGGGGTAGGGATGTACGTGTGGATTCATAATTTTACATATACACGTCGCCTAGCAGCAGCTACATGCATACGAAATTCCCAAGTCCTGCTATGTAACAACATTAAGCCATATGCATTGCCTGCTTCAGCTGAAGCAGCTGCTGCAGCTGCAGCTTCCAAACAATCTGCAGCTTCCAAACAGCACCAAACATTTCCACAACAGCGGCTGCTGCAGCTGCAGCTCATCGATCTGTCAACAATTTGCCTCAAAACATGCTACATTATAGCTCAGAAGCTCAGAAGCGCTCTATCCACCCTTACACTTTCTGGTATTCATGCCTAGAAGAAGTCCTCCATCACCGTCAGTTAA